AACAACGAAGCCAGCAAAGAAGTTACCCCGATTCCCCTCTACCAGCAGAGCTCAGTGACTTGTAAATGACAGTATTTTTTTCTGGTAGGTTTGAAATTAAAAAAAACCCCAAAAAACCCCTAGAAACCAAATTTCTGCAGTCTCACAATAAAATGCAAATGACCAGTGTGACTGTCACAATTCACCAATCACTGGAAAGAGTCACAGAAATAAAAGGAGGCAACGTTCTATCAACTAATACATGTTTTGAAATGTCCATTTAGTCTATGTTCATGAACACTCTCTTAAACTAAATTTCCTACTCCATAACATTTCTTCATTAAACTTATTTTTTTTCGTGAAAATCTGCCAAGCTGAAGTCATAAATGCCCTCACTTAGTAGTGAAGAGTGTCCAGGGTTCCTGATTCTCATCTTAGCGTTCTGTTAATACCACACAAAGCAGCATGCCTCTTTCCTACTGCAGGCTAGTTCTTCTGCCGTATGCTTCCAAAATAATGTATTGCTCTAGAAGTAAGGATAAGGATGTGGTGAGCAATTGACTGGTGGGTCCCAGTCGGCACGATGCACTAGCACAGTGCATGGAGATCCAGGCTGGCAGGGCGGAAGGGCAGAGCCAAAGAGGCATGCCGGAGGATGGGCCACCCCTACTGCCACACAACGTGGATTCTGCTATTGAAGTTATGTCACATGTCATCCAAAAAAAAAAAAATAGTAACAATGTCTGTTTAGGTAGCAACAAAACTGAAGTGCTAAACAAGTAAAAGAATACATTGTTTTGCTTTGTTTGATTAAAGTTATCCTAACGAACTGAAGCCAACCCTTGTGTTTCAGCGTTTAATTCCCACATGTACCTGTTGTGTGTCCGTCCCCACCCCACCCACCTCAGGGGAAAGTTAGGGCGAGGGGCAAGATTCCTAAATCTCCACTATCTGAAGTTTATCAGTGTTTTAGCTTGAGACATAAAAAATAGCAGGAACTCAATATGGAAAAAACAAACAAAACAAAACTGTTAAAGTGTCCAGCTTGCATTCTCAGGCAAGCAGTATTTGGAAGTATCATTCGTGAGGTTCAAAGGTTAAAACTGAGAAAATGCTGGACACTTGGAAGTGGGGGCCAGCTCAGCCAAGGGTCAATGACAGCTGCCCATTGGAAAATGCTAAAAGGGAACGGGGAAGGGCAGGGCATTGGCTGACTCTTCCTTCTTTATTGCAACATTTGACTTTTCACTTTAAGGGAGGGGGGGCAGGTTTGTGTAACTCTCACAAACAGTCCAATAGAAACAAATCACCCAAGTTGATTAATCACAGTGAATTATCTTGCAAAATCAAACAGCAATCAAAAGAGAAGGATGACTTTTAAAAGATATATGCCAAGTAAAACCATACGTATGTAGTGAATTTTAATAAAGACATCTTTTTTCTGGATTTTCATTTATGATATTAAAATACTGTTATAATGCATATTTTATTATTTATCTAAGTGTTTATTTATATTAAAAGAATGCATCTTTTCAGAAACTAATCTGTTGCCTTTTTTGCCAAGAGTATTTTCAGAACTGCCAATCTTCCAGAAAGTAAACTTGTGGTATTTATGTAATATTTTAAATGATTGATCTGTTAAATTACTAAAAGTTATATTTCTTTCAAATGTAAATTGTTTCACTCATTAGAAAAGTCGAAAAATTAGTTTCTCTACAAAGTATGCATTTTTGTCTCCACAAATACTGGGTTAGACTCCTTGAAATGTATTCTTCTTTATATGTACAATTTTGGATGTGATTCAGAATGCTGAACAACATTGTTAGTGCTAACATGGTATTGACATGAGGCAGGACAGCAAGAACCCACAGCCAGCTTTCAAGCTGGAGTTATGGCCCCAGTTTGTGCACATTAGCTGCAATTACCTGCACCGCTCATCCTGAGCCACTAGATGGTGTAAAAAATAAATTAAAATAGTAGAATTTCATTCCATCCCAGGAAATCTAACTAGAACGCCAAGAAAGGGGAAATAAGGTTCTAGACACATAACAACTCTCACGCTTTCTCTACCAATTGCACTTCTCCAAAATCTACAGGTGTCTACTAGCAGCTCTGCCCTGACCTGGAAGCCAGCCCCTTGTAGCACTTTATTGCTCTCCTCTACTGAGTCTTGAATTTATAATAATACCAAGCATTCAAAATTGCAGTCCTCATTCATACAGTAAATGAACTTAGAGTATTACTGTATAGCCTATGTTTGCCAGCGTTTGATAAAACTGGAAGGCCAAGCCAATAAAAGATTAATAAAGCGTCTCCAGAGATTCCCATCTGAACTTGCCCAGAGGCAGGCTTCACAAGCATAAGGCAACCCCACAAGCCACCTGTAAATGCCCATTCTTGGTGCCACGGAGTAAATTCGGCCTATAAAACAGGGCAGAACTGCCCCTGTGGGTTTCGTGGACTGTGAGGCTGCAACTCTTGGTGGGAATAGAAAGCCTCATCTGTCTCTGAAGGAGCAGCAGGTGGTTTTGAACCACTGCCCATGTGGGGAGCAGCCCAATGCCTAGCCACTATGCCACCAGGGCTCCTAGGCCAGAATTTGTCCACACCCATTGAGGGAGAGCTATTCTGTGCGCCTCAGTGCCCTTCTCTTTCCCCTGACCAAGACGGACCTGCTTGATTCTACTAACTATTTCAACCAAGGATGATAGTATGCTAACAATGTCTTATCTCTTAGGGAAAGCAAAATGAAACCCAGCAAAAATTAATATTTCTATAAGGTACTTTATGAAGCCATGCTGATAGTGGAACTTCAAGCCTGGTAAAAGACTGAAAGAAGTAGTATTTTGGGTCAGGTCTCCAAACCGTAGCGTTTAGACACTTGAGATGGTAGTATATGCTTTCCATGAGCTGGACCGCCATTAGTCCAGGTCTATGATCAAACTCCACAAATGAAACTACCATCGCCACACAGAAGGTTTGGGAGAACAGGGATTATCCTTCCCCCCGGGACCCCGGAAGTATGTTATGCCTGAGTCTATATTTAATTTCTCTGAGCAACAGTCGACGGTAGGGATGTTGGGGACTCAGCAATAGTCGATATGCACATGCTTATTTTGCTGAGTCTCAGAGATACTGAGTCACACTCCTCCTGGCAATTGACTCGTGGCCGACAAGGTTTTCAGTGACAGAAGAAGCCTGGTTCATATAGAAGCCTGTTCAGGACATCTGCAGCGGTCGCACAAGTTCCCAATCTGAAAACGGAATCTAAATGGCTGTATGGCCTTTATCCCTATACCCTGAAATTCAAAGTGGAAGCTAATCAGCCTTTTAACTTTATACACAATTGCAGCTAACCCAGTGAAGAAAATATGAGCAAAGCAGATTTAAGTACATACTTTCCAATTCCAAAAATGCTTCTTGACAAGAACCGAAACCAATCAGTTTGATTTCTATATTAGCTACCTCAAAATGCTGTTGCCTTCACGCAGGACAATTACATGCTCAATGGTAGGTTTAATCTAATAGTTGTGACGTGACTACAGCTTTCAAGAACAGAAAGCGTCTTTAAAAACAAACAAACTACTACTACTAATATGCAGAAAACTCGTATAAATAAGTAAAGAAGTCTTAACTTTGGGCAACTCAAGTAGCAATCGTCACAGTTAGTTGTTTTTAGTACATGAATATCTTTATTCCCAAGAATTTACACATGCTTACATCTTATTTCTTTTCTGTTCCTGGCATACACAGTGGGCTCTGGCACATGGTAAGGACTTTATGATGCTTCGGATTAAAAAACCAAGACAAGAAGGAAGGAAGCAGACAGACATAAGCAGAACAGAGAAAAGTAAGAAGAACAGTGGTTGGGAATCACGATGCTTGGCTCGTATCCGGCCCTGACACTTTGTGGGCACAAGTTCCCTGGTCTGTAAAGCAGAGGATGGATTGCTAAGACCATTTGGTTCTAATGTTCTATGACTTTCTGTATTACAATCTTATGCCCCAGTTATCTAGTATTAACATTCAGTAAGTGACTTTACTTACAAAGTATTTCCTGCATCTAATAAAGTCATTAGGTATCTGAGAAATCTAAGATTATTTCTCTGATCAAGAACCATATTAAACTCCTACATTTGGGATTTATATAATATCCCCCTTATATTTATTTTTTTAATTTCTAGGAAGCATTTATTTCTAAAGGAGATTCATGAAATAGAGAAAGAGGGTTTTTTTTTTTCTTCATTATGGCATTTTGAGGTGTTTTTTTTTTAACCCTCATGTTTTGGTAAAGGAAACTAGATATGACTATTAAGAGAGCCCATAGAGGTCATTATAGATAAGGAACTGACTCTTACATCTAAGGACAAAATGAGTTTGAATGGTCCAGTATCTTAAGAGACAGAGGCAACAGTTTTTAAATATATAAGGATGAGTGCATAGCAATACATTTTGCTGTTCTGTTTATAAATACAGTATACTAAGCTTTAAAAAAAAATTACCTAAGCCTGTCTGAGTGGAAAAGCATTGCTTTTAAATTGTTGGACCACTCACTTTATTTACATAAAGATGAAAAACTTGTTCTATAAACACAGTGTTTCCAGTAGTGAATGGCAGACAAAGTCAGAATAAGCACACAGAAGAATAAAAAGGAAGAGGAAAGAAAAACATAATAAATAACCTAATACTTTACAATGTTAACTTTCACATAAGTACATTGTTTCTGGAGAAGGCAGCCGGTGGGTGTGAGCCAAGGGCTGAAGTGATAAGTAAACACTGCTAAGTTGGATGCCGTTATCTGATTATGTTTAAAATTTGATTATATTTCACTTGACAAAATAATTAATTATTGTGAACTCCAAATTGTTAACAAGGACAGAAGAGAATTCCAATTGACCTTCCCTCCCCTCCCCACCCTGCCCCACCTTTCCAGCCCTCCCGCCCCCTCCCCGCCCCATGCTGGAAAATCCAACTGCAGGAAAACCCGGCTTTACAGTGTGTTTGGGGGAATATCTTCTTACCTTGCTGAGAATGTAGATCACATCGCCACGTTTGAAGGACAACTCATCAGAAAGAGCACCCGTGCAGTCCCACAAACCCTGGTAAAAATTGGCATAATCGGTGCTTTTGTCTCCTAGGAAGGAGGAGGAGAAAGCAGGAGTCAGAGCTGTCAAGAACCCGGTCCTCGCGGTGCCGCTCACCCACACCACCAGAACAGGCTGAGCGAGGCCTGCGCCGGCTCAAAGGGCAGCCTGCGATCCCCACGCAGGTTCCTTTTTCTTTTCTGTTGCCACAGAATGAAGGTCATTTTCAAGATGTCTTGCTCCTTTCATCTAAAACCTGTCAGGGCAACGCAGTCCCATCCAACCAGTCCCGAAAAGTAGCTTCCTGTTTATTTTATACAATAAACCTAAAGCCGTTTGCAACCTGTTCTGACGACAGCAAGCCAGCCACACAGCCTTAGAAAGGCCAATATTCAAGAGATGTGATGAACTCCCTGTGAGAAAAGCATCTCACAGAATCTGAGACGCTTCTTTTAAAAAATAATCACCGTCATCACAATAAAGAAGCTAAAGCACAAGTAGAAATCCCTTCTCGGAAACAGAGTTTGGGGTGTGTGTGTGTGTGTGTGTGAAATTCCGACAAGGAGAAGCTGGTGACCAGACAAGGGTAAAAGTCAAAAGGACACAAAAGACCGTTCCAGCTCTTTCCTTTGGGGACACCTGTGCCCAACGCCGCCTGATAGGATTTCTAAAACATTTTAAAACTTTGAAATCATCACTGCTGAAGCTGCATTTTCCAACTGTCTTTTTGTCGGCCCCGGTGAGGACATCAGGCCCTGAATCAACATGGACCGACACGGGCGTTCTCAGCTCATCCTTCTCACTGCCTGAGCACAATGGATGTGATGTGCTCTGACTGCCATACAGACCATTAACTGATTGATTATTTAGCCCTCTCCACTCTGTGATACCACAATAAACCGGGGACAAATGCTTTGTCCCTTCTACAATGTGGGTCTCCTGAAATGCAGCACAGAGTTAAATACACTGGATGCTCTTGTTACCCTGAAACCATTTCCTGTTTTTAATTTCATGATAATTGAGTTTTGATGAGTTAACGCAAAAAGAATGCGAGTAGTATCAATACGATTTCCGTGTATTCTCTAACCAGGCAGCACATGTCTGTGCTGACGGCTTCCATCATTGGAATGTCATCTTTGAATTCTGAGGGGAGAGCTGTGGAGACACATGCCGGATCAAGCTTGTCATCTTTGTTTTGTTATATGGCTTACAAACAGCAGGCGCCTCAGCCCAACGGTTCATGTTCGCGGCACACTGGGGTGCTGTCTGGTTGTACGCAGTTTGCGAGGCACGCTAAGTGGTAAGTTGACTAGCTGACGTTCTCTTTGAACACCTTAAAACTGTGCACAGGTCAATAAGAAAATCTGCAGAATATGGTCTCTGAGTAGGCAGGCATGCATTCTGAATATTTAGGAAATGGCATGCTACTTCTTCAATTATGCTTCAAAAAAGAAATAAGCAAAGCCTAAAATACTCAACTGAGCAAAAGCCCCTATTAGGTTTTTCCCCCCTTGTTTTCTAAGAATGAGGGGTGGGAAAGAGAGGGGGAGGGGCATGAGAGAGCAAGGCAGGAAGGTGACACAGAGACCACTGTGTCTCTGCACACTCGCCTTTGAACACTCATCACTGCGACCAGCCCGGACGTGCACAAGCGGGGGATCCAACCAAGAGCCAACAATGCTGGTGGCCACCCTTCATTACATTCACCCCTCCCCCTGCTGGCCCACCAGACACCTCCTTCCCCCAGCCAAGAGTAAGCAAGTGCTATGAATGGGCACTAGAGGGCACTCTGACTGGCCCGATCACTTGAAACATTGTCAGTTTAAAAAAAAAATTACTTAATAATGAAGTGACTGATTTCTTTGGAAAACCACTTATTTAGACAAATAGAGATTTGGAAGTTGAAACATTCTTGTAGGACTGCATCAACTGCTAACTGGGTCAAATGTGGTGCCCTGTGCAGTCCGTCAGTGTCAATGGAAAAGACCAGGAATTAGAGCAAAGAGGATGACATCATTTCACACAAGGCCCTCCCGGGCAGGAACTGGGGAAAGCTGGCGGGTGAGGGGCTATTTCTCCTGTGGGTTCCCCGAGCTGCTCAGCCCTAGGGTTGGTCCGAAAGGTGGAAGGAACACAACCTGGGCTGGAAACGAGGGGGCAGGTTTAGGGCTTGCCCCCCCAGCAGGCTGGGCTGCCTTTAGATTCCTCAGCTTCCTTCACAACTGTTCTTCTCTCAGAAGGTTTTCAAAAGGGGGTTGGGGTGAGGGGGGGGAGGAGAGAGGAGAAAGAAGAGAGAAGTCTGTGGTGCTCTCTAACACAGAATGCAGATCACTTTGGGGTCTCTCTTCCCCTTGATGCGCTTGGTGAGACTCCCATTAACACTAATGGGAGTTCGAGGAGCACACCAGGGGATGAGAGGCTCCCACCGTGTGCAAGATGCATTTCTCCCTGGATGTGCATCATGAGCATTTCATTAAATCTCACTGCTGTAAAGAGGCAGCAAAGCTCGCGATTTGGCAGCGCTGCTGGAAGAAGGCACGTGCTTCAGCTGAGCTCTCTCTAATCTCCGTGATGATGCTACCCAATGACCAGCCTTGTTTCCTCGCCCCACACGTGGCCTCTGTTAAAGAGTCATGGGAGCTGATGTCCTACAAGGACGTGTCCACACCCTTTGCTGGCATGTGACAGGCGCTATGGAGTAGCGGCAGCACCACCTAGGAGGAGACAGGGGCCCTATGTTTATTAGCTGCAGTCTCCTCAGGGGAGCAGGGTTTCAGTTCTCTCTCTCTCTCTCACACACACGCAGGGTTTCAGTTCTCTCTCTCTCTCTCTCTCTCTCTCTCTCACACACACACACACACACACACACACACATTTCCTCGTGGTAAGCGTGAAAGCTTACAAAAGCCAAAGTGTTGCCCATTCAGGAATGTATGCACGGTTTGCTGCATGACATCAGTGGTGGTCCCTCAGTGCCTCTCCTTGGGTTCTCCGTTTCCAGTTGCCCATCATTCCTTCCTCTTTCCTGCCTTGTGAACTGAGCTTTTGGGCAAACGCTACCATCTGGAGGGGCACCGCTCATGGGTGTTACTGTCCATGTTATAGGCCAGTCTGTTGTGGGGACCTCTGGAAGTGTGTCCCGTCCCTGGTTTGGAGGGTGTCTAAGGGGGATCCTACCCGCCGTATCGGAGCCATAAACCTGACCTTTTTTAATGCTGAATGTTGTTGTACATGCTCTTCCCACTTGGCCTCTCATTCGCTGACCGCTGTGGAGCCAATGGGGTCTGCTGGGGTCCTTATAGGGCAGGGTAGAACTGCCCCTGTGGCTTTCAGAGACTGTCACTCTTTATGGGAGTGGAACAGCCCATCTTTCTCCCAAGGGACGACTGGTGGTTTCTAACTGCTGACCTTGTGGATCAAAGCCCAAGCTGGGACCCTCTCCCACTCTATCTAGGATCCTCTAATCATAATGTGATTCTGATCAGAGTGGGTGGTGGCGTTAGCCAGGGCCCATAGAGTTCTTAAGGTCTTGAGTTAGTGGAAGTTAGAGTTGTGTTGTCTATTAGTGGTCTAGACTAATCATTTCCTTGAACAACTTCTTCTTTTTTAATCCCCTTCTTTGCTCCAAACAAAACCAATAATTGTACTTACATGGCCACTCACAAGCTTTTAAGATCCCTAGTCACTACTCAGCAAAGTGGGATGTAATTGTCTTTATGAACTACGCTGTGTCGGCCTAGATGACTCCAAGAACGTGGCTCTAAGTGGCTCAGTCCTTTCCAGATGTTTGGTGGAGGCAAGGCTTACATTCTTGAAGTCAAATCTGGACATATAAATTAGGAGTTATACTTAATGAGCAGCAAGCTCCTCTGGTTAACTTTTAAGTGTGGCTAAGTGGATACACAGCCTTCAACATACGCTCGAGAGCAGAGTCGGGTCAGGAAGGAAAACATTCTCCACGCATACAAAAGAAAAGCCCTGTTTAAGATGGCATTCAAACAGATGAAACCCTAACTGGACCAGTCACACACACATTCTAAAATGCACGTAAGCCTGTTCAGTTGTTTTCACGTCACTGATGAACGCTCTTATTCTAGCTGCTGACTTATTTTTACAATATTACAAAAGCCACCTTGGGTTTATTGTTCTAAGAAGTACAAATGATGGGGGAGGTGAGAGGGAGAGAAGGAAGGAGAGGAGGAGGAGGGAGAGAAAGTGGAGGGTAGGAAAGAGGAAAGAAGGGGGGGAAGGGCAAAATGGAGAGGGGAGGGCTATAAATTAGTCAGTCAGTGAAGGATTTTAGCAACATTTGTCAATGTGAATAATCTGTAGCATTCTTAAGTAAGGTTAGAAGTTCAAGTCATGTGATGCTCAGCAAGATAGCAATGCCCCTGTCAGCTCACTGCCCTGCCCGGCAAACAAACTTCTAGTGTTACATTTTTGACAGCCTCGGAAGATCAAAGGTCACAGCTATGCAAAAGCTTTAAAACTGTTGCTAGAGAAGAATTTCATGTCATCGACGCTAAGGAAGACTGTAGCGCAGTGCTTTAGAGCTACCTTCCATGAAAAACTGGTTCCGCTCGCTGCATTCTTTTAACGAAAAAACAAAACAAATGTTTCTCCCCTCCTCTCAAAGGCAAAAAACTGGGGAGACGGTTACTTTAAAGGGGCTTTTGAAAAACACAATTGCTTCCAGCCAAAATATTTGCAACTGTGGAAAGAATATCTACTAGGTGTCTGCATTCCACACCTGAATGGAATTTCTTTTTTTTTTTTTAATTTAACAGAAGAACGATATGCCCCTGGCAGCAGCTTTATACCACATCCACTCCAGACGTGGACAGACACGGACAGGATGGCTGAGCATGCTCCTCGAGGCTCCTGGAGGCCTGGTGTTTTGTGGCTGCGTGTCACAGGCCTGCAGTGTGCACGTGAATGACCCTGTCCTCGCTTCCTTTCTAAGAAAAGCAACCCAAACCCTGGGCAAGCACCCTGCTCCTCTTTCCTGCCCAGGGCCGGAAACCAGGCCTCTGTTTCCTTTCCACATGCCACAGGAGGAAGGACTCTGGAAAGTGACTTCCTGAACACACGCTGCTTGTCCACCCTGCCTCTGACAGCTTCAGAGAGTGATGTATGGGACATATGAGCGAGGGGAAGGTGACCCTGACTGCAGGCCCTTACAGAACATAAGGGACCACACAGCAGACCTGGGCCCGGCTGACATGTGGCTGTGACGAGGTGTAAAGTGCTGATAAGAAGCCAGTCCTTTTGTCCCCCTGTGTAAAATAATTGCTGGTTTATCAAAACTAACCCCATGCTTGCACTACAGATAGGCTTTATCTCCTGCTATTTGGAAATAACAACCAGCGAGAAAAGTTGCCCGTATCATGTGCCAGCAAACCGGGCGGGCGCAGCTACTTCCCCGGTCTCACTCACAATTAGGACTTGGGGCCCCGGGCCGAGTGGAAATGGATAAGGGTACTAGCCTCCCCGGCCTTCTGGCCTTTCCTGATTTTTAAGCGGCTGTCACTGGACTCTGGCATTTCTTATACCCAATTCATTTGCTTGTCGGGCTAATCATATGCAATGAAGATATGCATGGCCAACATTTAAACAGGCTGCAGATCAATTAGCGGTCTTAAGTTTATCTGATTTTTATCAAAGAAGACAGAGCTGTGGGTCGATTGTCAGAGCCTGTGTCAAGTTGACCTTTTCAGAGATGTCTACATTGGCAGTCCCCTGGGCAACTTGTTGTCCCCTGTTAGCCTCTGAATGGCAGAAGTCTGTTCTGCTCAAGCACAAAGTATACACAGATGTCTATATTACATTCTTATAGGTTTGACAGCAACTGCATGTTGTATCTATAAACTGTCCTTTAGCGGTGACACTTCCTCAATGATGATAAGCTAATTTATGCAACTAAATCTCCTTTGTGCAGAAATGAAAGCTAATTGAGTCATTACAAAGTAATTCAGGAAGGAATACCTTGTATAAATTGGCTTACTTTATAAATCCTTCTCAAGTGGTTTTCATGCATCCTAAATGGGACCGAGCGCTTTTCAGCCATAAGATAGCCATCCTGAACAAGCCAACTTCGGGAGTCGTGCAAACAACTTCAGAGCAGTGTGGAGAGACGGGTTTTGGTGGGGCGCTCGCATCCCTTACCTGGGGGTTGAGGAACGCTGGCCTGGCTCGTCTTCCTTTGTTCCTCCATTTTCCCTGGAGCTTCATTCTCTTCCTCTTCTGCAAATAAAACAAACACCAGACTTGAAGGGCATCTGCAGGAAGTGCAACACGGGACTCACACTAGGTCCTAAGAAGGCTGAGTTGGACACACTTCAATCTTTACTTTCCCAAGAATACTAATTCACATTGCATTCCTTTCTCCAATCATCTAGCGGTGAACAAATACACTGGTGCTTTCCATCCAGCAACCTGGCCAGTTACAATTAAAGGCGCTTACTGGTGCTTTAGGAGCCCTGGTGTCATAGTGGTTATGCATTGGGCTGCTAATCACAAGGTCAGCAGTTCAAAACCACCAGCCAGAAGAAAGCTGAGCCTTTCTACTCCAGGAAAGATCAGCGGTCTCAGAAACCTAGAGTTCTACTCTGTCCTACAGGGTCACTATGGGTTGGAACAGACTCGACGGCAGTGAGTTTCTTTACTCTGGCTTTGAAGAATTTGTTTTAAACGTATTTAGAAATCTACCTGCTGGATTCATCACCAGGAATCTGGTAAGCCCTGGCTGTGACATGGCTCAGTAAACCCATATACCACTGGGTACTGTGACAGGGGGACCCCAGATAACTACCAAGATGAAACGGGGGATGAAACAGTTATTGAATATCAGACACCTTCTTTTATTTTCTCATTCACTCTTCATTGGCCACCAGGAGGACCCTCCTCTGTTGGGTAATCCCCCCGATGATATTAGGATTTACCATGTGTCATGTACAACGGTAGATGTTAGGATCTCACAGATAATGGATTTTTAAATCCTCACTTTACAGATAAGTGAGCCGAGCCTCAAAAAGGTGAGGTAGCTTCCAGAGTTTTATTATGTAAATTGAGGTTTCTGATTAGAAAATCCATATAGCTTATACTATCTACATATTCAGGGTTTTTACTCTCCCATCCCAAGTTATGGTAAGAGATATGATTAGATTAAATCAGAATAGTTCTAAGCAATGTCATTAGATGATTTCATTTTTAACTTCATAAAAACCTATTACCTGACTACTTTTCCCAGCTAAGGATTTATATACCATTTCTGATGTTCTTAAGTCAGAGGATAGAAATGAAACAGCATGCCAGAGAATAACTGGATCCAAAAAGAACAGTGATTTCCAGAAAGTTCCCTAACTCTAAAGGAAATACACAAAATATATCTATGCACGTCACTGTGACCATTACAGAATCGCAACAGTAAATCTCCATGCAGTATTAACTACACGTAACAGACAGGATCCGCTGGAGAGGCAATTCTCTTAGAGAGCTGATGCCCTCAGGAAGTAAGGACCGAAAGGTAAATGGACTAAGGGGCAGAAATCTGACAAGTGAGCAATGACGTGGAGAAACGCTGGACTAAGAAGGAAGGCTTGGAGGGCTCTGAATGCGGAGACAGGCATGGGGGGCGGAGACACAGGAAAGCATGAAAACTAAGGCTGCTCAACCAGGGGTGTCTGGGTAATGGCTGCAGTACTCAGAGGAGGGGCAAGATGGGGACCGGGGTGTCTGGGTAATGGCTGCAGTACTCAGAGGAAGGGCAAGATGGGGACCGGGGTGTCTGGGTAATGACTGCAGTACTCAGAGGAGGGGCAAGATGGGGACCGGGGTGTCTGGGTAATGGCTGCAGTACTCAGAGGAGGGGCAAGATGGGGACCGGGGTGTCTGGGTAATGACTGCAGTACTCAGAGGAGGGGCAAGATGGGGACCGGGGTGTCTGGGTAATGACTGCAGTACTCAGAGGAGGGGCAAGATGGGGAGCAGGGTGTCTGGGTAATGGCTGCAGTACTCAGAGGAGGGGCAGGATGGGGACCGGGGTGCCTGGGTAATGGCTGCAGTACTCAGAGGAAGGGCAGGATGGAGAAGATGCTGGTCACTTGGGCCACTTGTTGAAGGGCCATGACCATCAGGCTCGGCCTGTTAGGCACTATTGGATGGGTGCGAAGAGCCCAGAGGCCCCTGAGCAGGAAAAGGCAGAGATAAACCGTCTGACCCCATTGTCCAACATAAACCTGGTAAGGAGCCTGGGGCACAGAGAGCATGCTCAAGTCTAGCAAAGGGGAAGGAAGTCCTGCGCTGAAGGGACACAGACAACGGGAAGGAGGGGGCTAAGAGAGGAAAAGGGAAGGGAACTGGCTGGATAAGACTTGTGGTTGACTGAACGTGGAGGGGCAAAGAGGTTAGAAAGAGAATGAGAGAGAGAGAGTAGCAGTGGACTGAGATGTGGATATACTGAGGCAGACAGACAGACAGACAGAAACACAAACACACGTGCAGATAGCCAGAATAAGTTTTACTGCTGGGGAAACACAAGGAGCTACAGTTCAGCAAGTGGGGTTTCAGGGGCTGCGGAGCAACCCCGAAGAACTGTCCGTGAGCCACTGCAAGGAGTATCAGAGCCTGGTGGAGAGGGCAGGCCCACAGAGTCATAAGTGAGTAGAAATCAAACTTGAGAGAAATCACATTGATAAGTCAAATCTGACTGTTTTCAATTTTCGTGCCTCAATTCAAACAAAATAATAAAAGTTTGAATGTAAGGAACAGCTGGAAATTATGACCTTTTATATGTATTATATACAAATACACACATTTTTTAAATGTCCACTTTTTTAAGGCCATGGTCAATGCCAGCAATTTCATATGATTCAGTGAAATAATAATCACTAAATAACTGGGAAACCTACTAATAAGTCTAATAGTAAGGCGTGTCTCCTTTTCTCTTCAACAATAGCTATTCATTGCCCACAGCTGCCAGGTCGATTCTGGCCCACAGTGACCCAACTGGCCGAGCAGACCTGGCCCACAGGGTTTCCAATGTGCAGTCACATTTTCTCCCACAGAGATGCCAGTGGGTTTGAACCACCGACCTTTTGGTTAGTACTCAAGCATTATAGTAGTTTAGGACTAACCCACTATAGATTGGGTGCAACAATATCAGTTACATGAAATCAAGGATGAGTTAATGAAAGCAGATTAAAAAGGTGTTTGTGTATGCATTTTAAAGGTAGAAGGGACATTTACATGTACACGCCTACCTACTCACTTTAAAGATCTTTATGTTTTAAAAAGGCGTAAGAGAAAGCTTTCCTTACTATTCAGACATTCTCTTTATCCAGTACTCCCTTCCTTCCACCAATTCCATTAAAAGCCGTAAGTATTATTCTTGGCTCTTAAGAAGGGGCAGTGAATCTTACACTCAAAATGTCAGCCTCAAGATATCAGGAAACCTGATTCAGATAATTAAATGGAAAAACTGTAATCTTTGGCACATTTAACACTATATTTAGAAGAATCCATGTATTATCATTTATTTTTACTTTATTAAAATGTAAGCACCTGCACTATATCCTGGGGACTGTATAAAGGTGTCAGAGAGTATTGTCCTAATGGAATTTATTCTAAAATTCAAAAATTAATGGTATAAGAATATATTTACTTAAGTGTCAATATGTACTAAGAAGCATCCAAATTGAAGTCTATAAGATGTTTTAACAAACAGTATTTGGGAGGATGAGATATTTATTAAAAATACTTGCTTTATCGCTTCCAAACCTAGTACTAATATTTTGGGGTCAAAATCTTTTATGCATTTCATACATCATTTTTTCTTAATAATATTCAAACAGCTCATTTTATCTGGGGCCCAAAAGATAAACATTATCCATATAAAATAAAATAAAATTTGGTAGTTTTATCTTTTTTAAAGACTTAAGGGGGAAAAATACTCAGACCAAACCTTGAATAGAAATGGCCCAAGGCAGATGTTCAAAAAATACTGAGTGAACAAATGGATTTAAAACTCACAAAAAATCCCATTATAATATATTCACATTTATTAACAGAGAAAACCTCTCTTAACAGAGAAAACCTCTCCAGAGAAACCTCTCCACACTACTCAGACAATATGTAATAATATGTAAGGTCACGTGACCAAAATTCTAGGCAATACTTGCCTCCACCATATAATGTAGTAGCTATATACACTCACAGGTTGCTTTATTTAGGATTAGTATTAAACATTTTATTTTGGGGCTGAGGCACAGTGCCATTATGCAATACTAATTAATACCTCAAGTAATCAATGTTTGTGGGTTAATATATTCCATTCAACATTTTAATAACAGTAAACAAAAACAGCTCAGCTACGCAGGAAAATCCATCAAACCACACAGATGGTTATAAGGTTTTCATTATGTGGTTTCCATAGCAATCATATTGCAAATCTGGAAGCTTCTTGCAAACAAGCAGCTTGTATTTACATGCCTCTCAGCTGCAGCACAAAACTCTTCAACATGTGAAGTTATTATTCCAATCACACACTGTTAGAAGAATCATCAGGAGATATTTTGATCAGACAGGATGGAAATAACAGTGCATTGAACTAATTGTAGGAACTCATTCAATCGTGGTTTCACTAAATAATCAATGAGTATTAGAAGTATTATGACAGTCGTCAAAAGGTCGTAACATTAAATCTTGTCAAAAAAAACATTTTGTAAAATATGCCATTTCCAGGAGCAATCAGGCCTGACAGAATGCAAAACCCTGCTTTCTGGGGGCTATGTGGCCTTCTCTCTGACTGGAACAAAGAAAGGAAAAACAACAGGAGACTGGGTCTTCCCGAATCCTGTTAGGATAACTAACACTTGAGGAAATGCTGCCTGTAGGGGGAAAATCCACACTTTTTCTCCTTTCAGATTAATCTATTTAATTTATAAACTGATCCAGTTCCATAACAGATGCATTATTACCCTAATAAGGACCACCAATCTGCCTATAAGGCAGCTTTCACCAAATGGCTATTTCTGGCTTACTAATGTTCTCATTTTCAGGGCAAACTTCCAATGAGAAAAGCAACAAGCAAATGCCACATTTGGCCGAACTACTCACAAAAGGATACACACAATGAGTTAGTGCCACAGCGGGTTCTGTGACTTCCAAGCTGAGGACCGGTTTCATGCCATCCGGAGGGAAGAAGACAACATCGCAAGGGTTCTCAACCCTCCTAACGCCGCGGC